ACTAACTATGGGCCTATCTTCTTGTAAGTGTAAAGTTTAATTATCCCCATATTTGTGGGTGATTTCTTGCTATTCAATTCCCAGCCTCCCCCTCCCCCTCCCCCTCCCCCTCCCTCCCCAACTGGGGCGATGGTTGTGTTCAGGGGGCAGAATTGTGTCGGCTTCTGTTTTTCTGTACATTATTCTACTAATGAGGTAGATACTATGCCAGTAATTTAGTACTGTGGAATCTTCTTGCAATAAAGCTGTAACGTCTGTCTAACTATTGGCCCATCCTCTTTTGAGTGTGAAGTTTACTTATCCCCAGATTTGTGGGTGAATGCTTGCTATTCAATTCCCCCCCTCCCCCTCCCCCTCCCTCCCCAACTCGCTGTTAAATTATGTTATCGAATCTTTTTTGGAAAAAGTTAGTGAGAGTCTGTGACATGGCTAAAAACAAGGCAGCAAGGCTGATCTTAAAATACAAACAATTTGGGTTCATCAATTGCCTGATCTGTGTCTGAGATGGCTGATATCGACTGATAGAATAAAAGCTTGGACGATCGGAAAACGAACTGGACGCCATATGATGTGTCTTGCGAGAAGGTCTTTATTCCCTTATATCGTTGCGAAACTCATTTTTAGCCATTCTCGTGCTAATTTGCGAAAAACAAGTTCAAAGAAAGTGGAGTTGGTGAAAAAAGCATTTTTTTTTTCACGAATTCACTACTCGTTGGCAGTCGCCAAAGGGTTACAATAGCCAGAAACATTTTCAAGTTCAAACGGCAGAGGCCAGCATTAAAAACCACACTGAAACTCCTAAAAGTTTCACTGCTGTGCTTTAATTCTCGCGTTCAAACAATAACGTAAGCAAAGCCTGGAGGTAACTGCATAGTTAAATAGTGATCTTAGGACAGCTGGTAGTCTGCTATGAAGGACAAAACCTTATAGATCAACGCCTTAATGAAAGCATTTCCCCCCCCGACCCCAATCCCCCCCCCCCACCCCATGCCAGCACCACTCGCATCAGTTTGCGTATATATAGAGTTTCTGATCTGCTAATTGCCACATATTTGTATGCCTTTCTTTTAGCGCTGCGTTTTCCTCTAGACCAAGCTTTGGTATGAAGCTTTTACAGAAATGAACTACGACACTTGTGTTTCTTAATTCATCCCTAAATCCGCCAGACTGCTGGATTGCTGGAAGATGAGACACATTCGTCACGCTCAGTTATGGACCTACTTCGAAAAGCAATTTCAGTAGTTAATTGAAGAGGGAAGATGCTTTGTCTTCGCGGGTTAATCGTTGAGTGTAGTGGACACAACTTTAAAATGTTAAAAGTAAGAGCTGCGAGAGATAGGCGAAGATTGAGAAAATGGCCTGTATCCCTTTTTATAGTTGTAGCTGGTGTTATTTGTTATTGTTGTTTTTGTTGCTGTAATTGTCTTCTAAGTATTTCGAATGCACTGTAACAGTACTAGTAACTGTAATTTGAAGCATGAGGTTGTACATTCTGTGACAAAACAAGGACTTTCCGTCCCCTAGAGTCCCTAGAGACTCCACTGATCGTGGGTTTGGAAGTGGCCAATGAGATGATTCGCGTTCGTAACGCAACACGTGGCCATTAAAACCCGTGCGTACGGCCGACTGCCCAGAACCAAAAACTTTCAGAAATTTCTCTGACCAAAAGGGCATTGCTTGATTCTGACGAGTAGGAGAGAATTGTGAAAGCTTTCTGGTTTTCAGGAGCTTGTGACTCATGGTGAGTTTGCACGTCGTATTGTGATGCACGAGCGATTTGTGAGTTGAGTTTGCACACAGTAACCTGCCTTGCTTCGCATATATATATATATATATATATATATATACACCCGTTTTCAAAAAGGTTTTCATACAGAGAGATATATAGATAGATATATACTTTTGTTCTCTTGCACGTGCGCCCGTGTGTATTTTTCACTTGTTATTGTCCAACTTGTGAAAAACTCGGTTTGACGATCCGCGAGTTATACGGCCTCACCAAATTGGTAGGCCAAATGCCATGTCATCTGTAGCAAGTGACGAAGCATTTTTATTGATGGAGTATATTAAAAAATGCGCTGTCCATGGGCGTGCTTAAGAGAAACTGTAAACTAACTTGAAAGCATTTGTGGCCGAGAGTTTATTCTGTCTTCAATGAGACGTTGCCTTACAGGCCGCGATTTTACACGAAAAAAGGTGAGACATTAATATATATGACCCGCTCATCATGATTATGATAAAATCTACTTCTATGAACCTAGGCAACGTCTTGGTCCGTTTTAATCAACTGCTATAATATTGTTGCTCCTTCCCACATATCCAATATGGATATTCCCCGTCACATCTTCCTTCTCAGCGGTTTCGAAAACACTGTTTTTTTTTTCATTTCATCTGCGTTTTTCCCCTTATCCTGTAACGACAACAATGATATCACCTACAAGTGACCTAATTCCTCATTCTTTAATTTTCAAGACAATGCAAATCAGGATAATTGCAGACAATATTCGTGCATTATTTTTTTAAATTGACAAATTGCAACAAAGAACCTGACGAAAAGAAAAATTATTGTTGAACCAAGTTTTTTCACAAGTTAGACAATAACAAGTGTAAATGCACACGGGAACGTGTGCACGTGCAAGAAAACAAAAGTATATATCTATCTATATATCTCTCTATATGAAAACCTTTTTGAAAACGGGTGTATATATACACCCGTTTTCAAAAAGGTTTTCATATAGAGAGATATATAGATAGATATATACTTTTGTTTTCTTGCACGTGCACACGTTCCCGTGTGCATTTACACTTGTTATTGTCTAACTTGTGAAAAAACTTGGTTCAACAATAATTTTTCTTTTCGTCAGGTTCTTTGTTGCAATTTGTCAATTTAAAAAAATAATGCACGAATATTGTCTGCAATTATCCTGATTTGCATTGTCTTGAAAATTAAAGAATGAGGAATTAGGTCACTTGTAGGTGATATCATTGTTGTCGTTACAGGATAAGGGGAAAAACGCAGATGAAATGAAAAAAAAAACAGTGTTTTCGAAACCGCTGAGAAGGAAGATGTGACGGGGAATATCCATATTGGATATGTGGGAAGGAGCAACAATATTATAGCAGTTGATTAAAACGGACCAAGACGTTGCCTAGGTTCATAGAAGTAGATTTTATCATAATCATGATGAGCGGGTCATATATATTAATGTCTCACCTTTTTTCGTGTAAAATCGCGGCCTGTAAGGCAACGTCTCATTGAAGACAGAATAAACTCTCGGCCACAAATGCTTTCAAGTTAGTTTACAGTTTCTCTTAAGCACGCCCATGGACAGCGCATTTTTTAATATACTCCATCAATAAAAATGCTTCGTCACTTGCTACAGATGACATGGCATTTGGCCTACCAATTTGGTGAGGCCGTATAACTCGCGGATCGTCAAACCGAGTTTTTCACAAGTTGGACAATAACAAGTGAAAAATACACACGGGCGCACGTGCAAGAGAACAAAAGTATATATCTATCTATATATCTCTCTGTATGAAAACCTTTTTGAAAACGGGTGTATATATATATATATATATATACACCCGTTTTTTTCCAAGGTTTGAAAAATACAGTTTCTGGCATCATGAACAATTTAGAAATTGTTTGTTATGCAAAAGCAAAAGAGTATGTTGTAGTGAATTCTTTATCTCAGGTAATTTATATTTTTCTTTTGTTTCACCTTCATCAGCATAGATTACCATACCCACAAACAAAAGAAAAACAAAAATTACCTGCGATAAAAAATTAACTGCAATAAGTATAAAAACATGCAGTAATTTGTGCACCAAGCCCTGGTCGCCTGTTATCTCAGTAAATTTTCTTTACAGTCGTCATCAAAATAGCAGTAAGTGGCAACTTAATCAATACCATTTACCATTTTGATTATTAATTTATTGATCGTAAAGATGATGGGTACGACAGCTCTTTAAACAAACCTCTCCCTTTTCTGAACATTAAAACTAAACTAAAAAAGGGCAAAAAGAATTTTAATAACTTAACAAAAACATGTTTACTGTACCCACAGAAAAATGATCGACAGTTTTGTCAAGGGGAGATCTTGTATTTACCTTGGCATCAACTTACATCAAGCTCGAGCGGAAATTCACTTCAAACTACTGATTTTAGTAATTTAAATATTTAAAGATATCTACCACCTGTTTGGAGAAAGGACACGTAGGAAAAACTCTACTACCTGAATTAAGAAGCAGAAACTTGGAAAAGGTTCTCGTTTAAATGTCTTTGTTTAGAAGAAGGTTTTCATTTTAATTCAATGTTAGTTATACAATCTAAATGAAAACAAATAAACGTATAGGCTATAAGCTTTCTGGAGGAATAGGTGCGAATCGAAAAAACAATCAAACTCACTAATATTAATACTGACAAGTAGATCTCCGGACTTAAAATTAGTTTCCAAGCCATTTAAAGAGCAAATACAACATCATATCTATGCAAATATAGAATTTGATCTGAGAAATATACGCACGTAAAAAACTAGAGAGGAAAAAAGAAGGAAAATTTCAAAAGCATAGTGAAGTCTAATAGCGTGGCCGAGAAAAGGACAGCAGGTTACACAAAAGGCTCACCAAGGTTTTTCTATTTGTCACACAGTACAAGCAAAAATTTTACCGAATACAGACTTATTTTTGCGCCCTCAATTTGCTATCCGGTTGCAGAATTACCCGAAGCGGTTGGTGAATCTACGTTCACTCAATAGTCAGGAGATTGTCTATCGGGGATTTGCCGATTCTTGACGAGGTATTTGTGGTCACTCGAACTACTTTGGACCAAGTGCCATTAACTATCTGAATTAACTATCTTCTGTTAATGGGTAAGCCAGAGTGGATCTTCTCTTAAAGTTAACCATAAGATGATCATGACGTTCAGAGGCTGATAATCATGATAATTATTTGAAAGTTAACCTTACTGAAAATTCTACTAGACCGGGCTTGGAACAATGTCGTTTCTGGCACTTTGCGTTTTAAACTCTTTTTTATCTTTCACCGCTTTCTTGTTTAACATTGTGACAATAAATGCGATAAAGAAAACTTCGTCGTTGTCCAAAAATTTGAAAACACTTCTCCTGACTCTAGCAATCTCTGATCTTGGCGTTGGCTTACTGGCGCAGCCTATGTATGTTACACAACTTATAATGAAGTGGAAACAACACAACGAAAATGATTCATTATATATTGGAGTATCCAACGCACACCTAATTCTGACAAATATTTTTGCCCCTGTCACGTTCTATGTTCTCGCAGTGCTGTGTGTAGAAAGATTCATGGCCATTCGTCTACCCCTCAGATACCAGGAACTTGTGACACACAAGCGCATTGCTACTGCGGTAATCTCAACTTGGGCTCTAAGCGGACTTTTCTCGCTGCTGAGGTTATGGACGCCAAAGATGGTCATGTACGGATTTTTTGCCTTGTTTGCGTGTCTTAGTTATATGGCTGCCACTTGGTTTAGTGTCAGGATTGTTTTGCTAGTGCGAAAGCAAATAAACGTTATTCACGTTCTACAAGGACCTCAAGTAGCACACAGCGGTCAAATGACCCACGTTATCAGATTGCGCAAGTTTGCGATCGCATCTGTCTACCTGTATGTCATTTTTCTGGTTTGCTATTTGCCAAATACTTGTGTTTTACTTGCTATCGCTTCCAATGGACCAAGCACAAGCTTGAGGCATTTGCAGCTTTTTACCATGACACTTGTGTTTCTTAATTCAACCCTTAATCCGTTGATTTACTGCTGGAAGATGAAAAACATCCGACACACTGTCGTTGACATGCTGCGACACACTTTCTCAAGCTTCAGCCGCCCAACTGAGGAAAGTTGAAATATTTCAACCATACACTAAACTCTGTAGCTAATAAGCAAGATGGGCAATAAAGGGGAGAAGACGCTAAGTCACGTTGCCATGATAGCAAATTTTCTGGATGACAACAGACCGAAGACCTCACTTAAAATATGAATTCGCACTGTTTCAAACCTCGTCAAACTTATTCAATTTCGTAATTTGTCAAATCTTGGCAAAATTTTGAGGAGTTGAATCCGAAAGGACCGGATCTAACTAAGAAAAAGAACATGCATTTTTGTGTTGTGTTCACGTACCATAAAGCGGGCGCTTGAAATTAGGAAGTTTCATGTCGCTATCGTACAATGATGGCTAAAAAATGTATAAACATTGCGTGTGCAAAGTTATTGTTTTGCTTTATAAACCAATTTTTTTCCCGTTCTTGTTGCCTTTGCCGTCATCGTAAGTTCCCTGTTGTCATCCAGAAATTTTGCTACCATGGCTACGTGACGTCACACTTTCCTCTGTAAAGGATGATGATGTAAAGATGAGACCCCTTGGAAGGAATCCGGATTCCGGAATCAGAGAAATTTTTGTTTGTCGAATCCGAAATCTGAGAAAATTTTGCTTGTGGATCCCGGAATCATGGGTCTGTGGAATCCCAAATACAGACCAAGGAATCCGGAATCCCACTAACGATTTGAATCCAGAATCCAAGTTCCTCTTTCAAAGACTGGAATCCATATATAAAGGTGTTGAAAAACTTCGGAAATTCGTTCACAAGCCTCACCATAGCTCGGAAAGTCTGGCACATTTCCATTACAGAACTTGAATCTCAATCTTGTATATTCACACTTGTTTTATTACCGAAAACTAGATAATTCATAAAGGCCGCAAATTGTGAATTGCCTTTTCGCAATACAGAATAAATATAGTTCACATATTTTCTTGAAAACCAAATGAAAAATTATGATCTTTCTGCTGAGGCGACAGAGGGCATGCGTGTTTTGCAGAACGCCGAGCGTCGAATGCCGCATGCAGAACGCCGAAAGACTCTGAGTTTTGTGATTAGGGTCAGGAAACTGAGTGAATAAGGTTCCAATTAGGGTTTTTAAACTGGGAAAATTGACCTAAAACTTAGTTCACTCAGTTTCCTAACCTCAGTCACTAAACGTCAGAGTCATTCGGTGTTCTGCATTTGCCGAACGCCAAATACAGTACGCCGAATGACTCTGAAGTTTAGTGATTAGGTTTAGGAAAGTGAGTGAACCAGGTTCCATTCAGGATCATTATACTGGGAAAACTCACCTGAAGCTTGATACCTTCGGTTTCCTAACCCTAATCACTAACCTTCAGATTAAATTTTGCCAACCTGGCTTATTGGAAGCTACAAGGGATAGATGTATTAAAGATAGCTTGCAAATTCATTTGATTCATTCAAGTGAGCCACCTTTTACCTAGCTGTTCTCGTAGAAAAATTATTTGTCTTCGCTAGTAAGCATTAAAACCTTAAACCCTTTGTGAGAGTGTTCAAAATCTGCCCTCCCTAACAATGCCTTTTTTCTAAGTACTGCCCGCAAAATGTTTCCAGATGTCAATAGCGTGCGGACGAACCGCATGTGATATCAAAATGTCGTAATAGACAAGGCATTAGTGGACTAGCTGCAGCAGGGTATTGATTTTAACTTTTCCTTACTAACTCTTCTGACATTCTAATTACATTGCCTTTTAATTCTTTTTTTAGCTGTATTTCAATACAAGCGAAGTAGTGTTTTATTTGTCTTTAAACACGAGGCGAACCCGGCTGTTTCGGTTAAAAATTGAAATATAAGTTCATTGTATGGCTTCTAAATCTTAAATAAAGAGCAATTAATTTCACAGAATAGTTCTTGTCCTTTTGGTAATTTTTTTAAAGGTGAATTAAAAATCAGCTAGTGTTTCTCAGATTCTAAAATCATATTAAACATTAATTTTCCTTTTTTGTGCTTATGAATTATTAATAGTTTTTTGAAAAAATTTACGAAGCCTGAAACAAATTTCAATAACAGGAAACTTTCTATAAATTAAGGATAACATCTCATCGGTAACATAACGGACAACATCACTTAACGGTAAGAAGTTCTGTTTCCACGAGAAATTTTTCACAAGGTATTTTTCAAACTACTACTTTTGGTGAACTTCGTATTACTCCCCGAATATTTATAGTTTTTTTTTGTTTCGTTTTCTTTTCTTTTTCAAGAAACAAGCTAACGAACGGAGTGAGCTTGACGACTATGGTTCGAACGTTGCCTAAAAACATAATACCGGCTGTAGAAATGATGCAAGAAAAAACACTTTCGTCGGCGTCAGGTCTTTTACTTTGCATTCTAAACGTCTCTTTATCCTATACTGCTATCATGTCAAACATTGTCACCGTACGCGCGGTACGAAAGAAATCATCCTTGTCAAAGAATTTAAAAACATTGCTCTTGAGTCAGGCTGTCTCTGATATCGGTGTTGGTTTAGTGGCGCAACCTTTGTATGTCGCACGTATGATCCTCTATTGGAGTCAGGGTACTGATACCCTGCGAGCAGAGGCTACATTTTCGCGGTATGAGCTGGCGTGCGAAAAGTAGCCTCTGCCGACAACCGTTCAAATCCGTCCAGAAATGTGGACGAATAAATTTAAAAAAACGGGTCTTTTCTTGTTCTTGACCGGTTTAGAGCATTTCGTGAGTCTTGCGTCAGCGAATGAACGCTGACCATTATTGCGCCTTCATGCATCCCTTCGCGCAAAATTCTCGCATACGAACGCGGATCAACACAGCTCAAACGTAGCAGCAGGAAAAGTTCAAAACAATTTAGACGAATGCGACTACAATATACCTCATCCTTTCCACGTGAAGTCGGACTGGGAACCACCAGTCCAGCCATCTGTAGCTCTGGAGACCATCCTAGAGGAGGTAAAATTAGAGCTCGCAAGCCATTGAATTTGACAAGCCAAAAGATAATATGTCTACGGGAGAGCGCCAAGCTCTCAAAGAGTTATCGCTCAACCAAAGGATTATTTTTAAGAAATCTGATAAAGTTAACCCCACCGTATTGATGAGCAGACAAGACAAACTAAACAAAGGTCAGGTTCTGCTTGATGATTTAAATAACTACCGACCTCTAGACAAACCAATGGTGGAAACTTACAATCAAAAAAGCTCAACAACTTATTAAAACACTGCTCTCAGAAGGCCACATTGATAAAACGACGGCTAAATGGCTCTCCCTTGCGCCTGATTCTCCGCAAATCCCAGTGTTTTACACACTTACTAAAATCCACAAACCGACACCTGTCGGAAGACCTATTATCTCAGGGTGTTCCGGACCTACAGAACGGATCGCAGCATTTGTTACCACCTTATTCAGCCAATAGCACAATTACAAGCTTCGTATCTTAAAGATGCGACAGACTTTATTAACTTCATCCAGAGGATTAAACTGCCTAAAAGTGCCATACTTGTTTCAATGGACGTCACAAGCCTATACTCAAACATACCACAACGAGAGGGCATTTCCACTGTATGCCATGCAAACAGTCTGATACTAACTAGAAAACTCGTTCCGATTTAACGAGAAAGATTATCTTCAAACCCATGGAACATCCATGGGCACGAAAATGGCCGTAAGCCTTTGCTAACAGCGTCATGGCCAAAATAGAAAAAGAAATACTCAGGCAGAGCAGCATTAAGCCCATCTTTTGGAAAAGGTTTATCGATGACGTCATACAGTATGGGACACAAGCAGAAACGAAATAGAAGAATTCCTTTTAAAGGCAAACAACTTCCATCCTACAATCAAATTAACGGCTAAAATATCAGAAACAGAGACTACATTCTTGGACACGAAAGTGTACAAAGGTGTCAGATTCAACAAGGATTCTATCCTTGACGTGCGAACACACTTCAAGCCTACGGACACATTCCAATACACGATTTTCTATTCGTGTCACCCACCAGGGGTCACAAAAGGCTTCATCGGAGGAGAAGCTTTAAGGTTTCAACAAATTCCTGTGAAATCTCTTTTGAAGAGAACATGAGGAATTTTTCAACACGCCTCAAGAATAGAGATTACCCAGCTACAACTGTAGAAAAATATCTCTCACAGGTCATTTTCGCAGACAAAAAGAAAGCACTAGAACAGGGAAACAAAAATACTACCCTTTGTAACGTAATACCACCCTGAGTTGTCCAACCTCAAGAACATACTCATGGGGAAATGGCACCTTATACAGAACCAACCATATCTCAGAAACATCTTTAAGGAGCTACCCCTCATTTCATATCGCAAAGGAAAATCCCTAAAAGACACTCAAGTAAGAGCTAAAATATAAAGCGTTTAAGACCAATCTATTTTCGAACTGCAGGAGTCGTGCAGGTTCGTCAACACTTTTAAACCTTGAATTCCAACCTGTGTGCTCGGTTTCAGTCCCTCTCGGAAACAAAACTGATCAAAAATTGTCGTCTCCCTTCTTGATTTAAAAAACGTGTCTCTTGATACATGACATGAAACACGTGAGAATTGAAATTAAATTATACAATCTTGACACATTCAAAATGCAAACTGATGTTAATTTTATCGATCTCGATAGTGAATTGGTGGATTTGAATTATAACTGTTGCATCTTTGATATTTTGTCACTTTTGGCGTAGCATACGTTCGTCAATCCGTGTCGTGGTGGATTCTACTGACATCGTGAAATATCAAACGATTGCAAGCATCGATAAGACCTTGGCCTCCTTCAAGCACCAGAAATCCTTAAAGAACAACAAATGGATTGGTTGTATCTCACACTTTGCATCTTAAACGCGAACTTGTCTTACACCGCAACAATTTTGAACATTGTAACAATCTACGCGATCGTGAAAACTTCGTCCTTGTCAAAAAATTTTAAAACATTGCTCCTGAGTCTGGCTGTTTCTGATCTTGGTGTTGGTTTACTAGCTCAGCCAATGTTTGCTGCACATATTATGGACTCAAAACAAAACAATGAAACCTTGAATAAACCTTATAATGCCTTATATATAGCATTTGGTACCTCGACTCATATCTTCATTTCTGCGTCACTGTTTAGTGTCACGGCTCTCTGTGCAGACAGATATTTGGCAATTTACCTTCACCTCAGATATCAGGAACTTGTGACACACAAGCGTGTTACTATTGCCGTGACCTCAATTTGGGTATTCAGCGCGCTTACTTCATTGCTCAGCTTTTGGATTTCAACGAATATCATGTTCGCATATTATGCAATCAGAAATTTTTCTTGTATTATAACTGCAACTTCCCTAAGCGTCAAACTTAAACAAACTCTAAGACACCACATAACCCAAATTCAAATCCCGCAAGAAGCGCAAAATCACCTAGTCGAAAGTGTTCAAAGAAACAGGAAATCTGCGATGGCATCGCTTTACGTGTATCTGGTTTTCATAGTTTGCTATTTACCTAGTATTTGTGTGTTAATAACTATCGCTACCATTTCCGAACCGAGGAACAATCTACAGCATTTGAATTTTTATACTCTAACCCTGATGTTTCTTAATTCGACCCTTAACCCACTGATCTACTGTTGGAAGCTGAAACAGATACGAAAGACTGTCACAGGCAAACTACGAGATGTATTTTCAAGACACACCTAACGAAACTTTCGCCGGCACAATTCAGAACACCTTGGAAGTCATACCTGTCTCAAGCAGTCACCCTTGGGAAACTGCATTTTTACGTTTATTAAGTTACGAATAAAATGACTGAAGGACTACGTCCAGAGTATATGACTAGACAAAACTACTTGTCGGCTAAATTCAGTGTGCTGTAAATTTTCCCAGATTATTTCAAGATGGTAGACTCTCCATAGCATAATCAATACTTCCATCCGTTACTTAATAATTATCAAAAAATATGATCATGCACGGTTTTATTTGTTATGCAAAATAATGCACGGTTTTGTTTGTTATGCAAAATAAAGCAAAAGAGTATGTTGTAGTGAATGTTTTATCTCAGGTAATTTATATTTTTCTTTTGTTTCAACTTCATAAGCATACATTACCATACCCACAAACAAAAGAAAAACAAAAATTACCTGAGATAAAAAATTAACTACAAAAAGTGTAAACACATGCAGTAATTTGTGCACCGAGCCCTGGTCGCTTGTTCTCTCAATAAATTTTCTTTACGTTCATCATCAAAATAGCAGTAAGTGGCAACTTAATCAATACCATTTTATGATGAATTTATTTATCGTCAAACGAGCTGGACGTGCTCTTTTTCGGCACCAAGATGATGGGTATGACAGCTCTTTAAATAAACTTCCCCCTTTTCTAAACATTAAAATTAAACTAGGGCAAATAGAATTTTAATAACTTAACCAAAACATGTTTTTATCGTACCGACAGAAATCGTCGAATAACAATCGACAGTTTTTTCAAAGGGGAATGTTTCATATACCCTGGCATCAACTTATATCAAACTCTAGCCTGCAATCTAGATCTCCGGCCTCGCGGTTTCTCTGCGCTCGCCCGCCTATATATCTTAACGCGCCCAGCCATAACTGCCATGCTACGCAGGCTAATCAAGCTCGGTAGGAAATTCACTTCAAACTGCTGATTTTAGTAATTTAAATATTTAAAGATATCTGCCACCTGTCTGGAGAAAGGACATGCTGCAAAAACTGTAACTACTTTCATTATGAAAGATCAAATATAATAATAATCGAAAAAGCCATCAAACTCACTAATATCAATAGACCAAACGTCTCTTTATCCTATACTACTATCATGTCAAACATTGTCATTGTTTACTTGTGATGCGGACGGACGGACGTACGGTCACGAGACTAACAATATTTTCTCGGATGGAAAGATAACCAAATTTTCTTATCTAAGGGCCACTGCTGAAGATGCGACACACACTTAATAAAAGAGGAAGGAAATAGACTGACAAGTTTATGCACAGCCCAAGAACCAACCCTAAACAGTACGAGCCGGCAAATGTTCCCTTTGAACTGCTCGTCCCCGAGATAAACCATTAAATGTGGGTGGAAGGGAGGGAGGAAGGAAAAGTACCAAAGCAAGGAAGGAAAAAGGGAAGGGAAACGAAGGGAGGAAGGGAGTGAGGAGGAAAAAGGAGGGGAAGGAGTAAGGACAAGGGAAAAGTAAAAAGGAAGAGAGGAAGGAAGCCAAAGTAAGGAAAAGGAAGGAGGGAGGAAGGAAGCAAACGGAAGAAAAAGAAGGGAGGAGGGAAGGGAGGAAGAAAGGAAGGAAGGAGGGGAGGAAGGAATGAAGGAAGGAAGGAAGGAAGGAAGGAAGGAAGGAAGGAAGGAAGGAAGGAAGGAAAGAAGGAAGGGAGGAAGAAATGTAGGAGGGAGGAAGGGCGGGAAGAGGAAGGAACGAAGGGGGAGGGAGGAAGGAAGGAAAAGGAAGGACTAAAGAAGGAAAGGAGGAAGGGAGGGTCAAAGACGGAAAATGTTTTAACTCTGAAAAGCCTTGAAGAAGGAGAAGGGAAAACGAAATAGTCGGCTTATTTGCCTTTAATTTAGGAAAATTTTCATGGAAGGCCCGCCCCATAAAATGTCATGGTAGATGAAGCTAATAAATACAGTTAGCGTTTGAGAAAACCAGACATTTTCCACTTAACAGTTTTCAATTTTATTTGACTATCAGCATCACAAGCTTTGTGCATTTTTTAAACCATTTCTTAACGAGATTATTTTCCTAGCGAAATGTCAATTCATTAACTATAAAACAGTTTGTATTACTGCACTATTTACGTTACAATCGTAACGCAGATGAGTATTGAAAGTTTCTTCGTTATTTAATTTCATGATAATCAATACATTCCTTACAGCAAAACAACTTTGGCTAGATTTCTTTACTCTCGCTTCATTCAAACCACCTCATGTACGACGTATCGAAGTGTAAACTCAAACGCCTTCCCACGTTATATCCAATAAGGCAATATAGTGTACGCCTTCAATTATCACGTGTCTAGTTAATGTTTCTAGAATTAGAATACAGTATCGCATGCGTTTAGTCAGCGGTACTACCAGAGAATACTACGCGACAGTCTATGTCCCACTTGCCAGCAAGAAGGCCGAGAGGTCTGGGGACCATCTGGTTTAACTCCCAAAAGAGGCTTAAAAGCATTCTTGACATAAGACGCGAGAAAAATGGGAGAACTCTAAAGAATTTAACTGTCTTTCATCTCTCACAGAAATCATTAAAGTCGATTTTTGCAAATTTTGAGGCCGTCAAATTCTAGGTGAGAAAAAACAATAAATTCAACACCTTTCAGTTGAAAGCTCTATAATGACTTTTGTTACAAGATACGCATTACCAATTACAATAATTATTACTGTTACAAAATTTAATTTCGGTTATAGAAAAATACACGAATTCACCTAGTTTACTGTGAACCTTGTCGGGTAATTTAAAATAAAAAGTGCTTATGTGCCAGGAAACTCGATAACAGCGCCAGAATCAGCCATAGCTTAGCCATCATTGTCACTTTTGCTATGTAGACACATTACATTGGTGGACATTTCCCCCCCTTTTTTTCTCGAATTGTTTTTTCAAGTTTTGTTTTAGCTTACCTAACTGATTAAGCCAACTCTCCTTGTCAAACGAAGTAGGAAAATAGCTTATCACAAGTTGCAAATTCCTCCCATTCTATTGGTTTTGTCACCGTGGCTACCGAGCTTTCTATCTGTTTCATGTTGTTTCCAACTTTATTGCCTGAGTTATTCCTTTCGCGGAGTACTGGTAACCACTCCGCAAGGAGAACACGTGACTTGTGAGCAAGCCGAAAAGGTCGCCATATTAGAGTATTTTGTAATGAGAAAAAGTTAAAATTTCCATTTCGCGGCAGATCCCTTATTTCTCGTTATTAGCTCTACTTTCTTGTTTTTGGAGGAAAACCGGGGGTCTTTAAGACAGTAATTCGAACACATTTAATAACCAGCCCACCAGATCAACTCGACATTTCTTTCCATTTTGTCCCGTAGGACAAAACCTTTCTGGTGGATTAACCACCTACTGATCACAGACCACAGAGCTTATTGGGAAATTAACACAAAAGCTATGGTTTTGCAATTCAACATCTTGTTAACAACACATTTTTTTTTTCAAAAAAGTCGATTAACATCGAATTTTGAAAAAGGATGTTTTAAGTCAAGCTTTAAATGGAAACCAACATCCTTGTACGAAAACAACGAAGGAAGGAAGTGTATCGTCGTTTAAAAAACATAGCTATCTCTAATTAAATTTTGTAGTAACATGTCTGGCATCTTATGGCAATACATTAGAAAAGGCCAGCTTTCTTCCTAAGATTCGTCTTCTTCCACATTGCCAGCGCATCAAAAGCGGTTCTGGTCATTTTAAACGCTTTCTGCGAAAGGAACAAACCAAAAAACGTTTAATTCATAAGCCTGAGCAGACAGCCCACACCGGTTTCCCCTGAGGAGCGAGCGCAGAAATTCCCAGCGGATGACAAGTCACTGCCACGATCTGGGTAGTACCTCAGTTCTGATTGGTCGGCCAAGAGGGCGATTTGCTTCAACCAATCAGAAGCACTAGCTAAATCGCCATCAGTATGGAATTTCTACGCCCTTTCCTTAGTCGACTCTACGCAGGGAAACCAGCAGTAGACTACGAGTAGTCCCCATTTTTCCTCAGGGATAGGAGTAGAGCGAACAAACGCGAGCGCGCGTGAAAATCAACCAACGCGAGAAAGGCGAAAGGCGAAAGGCGAAATGGGGACCACTCGCAGTATAAACCAGCAGTGGTGTCGAAAATTTTTTCGGGCTTTTTATTGAATAATTCATAAACCTCTTTTAAAAGCCTGTTTTATTTGCCAGCAGTCAGGTTGCACAGGCTGAAAATGCAGTTCAAAGAGAAATGCAGTTCTTACCTCGAAGTCAGCTTCGCTAAGGTACGTTTCAAGTCTCGAGGGATCCACTCCTTCAGGTGGTGGTTTTTGCTTGAGTTCCTCCAGGCTGTACTCTTTTCTACATGTCAAAAAAACGAAGAGTTAATTTAAAGAGTAAATGTTAAAACAGTCCATCAAGAAAATTAGAAATTTTTCTCTCTGATAAAACAAACACGGTTCTCCCTAGTTTATGCACGTAGTAAAAATGGAATAAATTCTTTACTAGTTTAATTTACAATAAATAAATAAATAAATAAACTGAGAGATAAATTAATAAATTAATAATTAATTGAAGGAATAAATGTATTCACACCACCACCGGGACCAAATGCAAAAAGACAAACCTCGAAAGCTTTGCAAGTTCCGTTTCCAGCTTTAGAATATCTCCATCAACCCTTCCAGTCTAAAAGCAAAAAAACAGAAAGAGTTCACAGTCAAACGTTTTTGAACCTGGGTAATTTTCAGAGAAAACCATCACACAAAAGCCTTGTACAAAATGTTACCCTGAATGGTTTGAAAGAAGGATAAGAAGGAAAGTCATATTGTAATGCATAAACAGCTGCATAAAAAACCTATGATGTACGTCTTCGAGCTGATACGCTTCTTATTTATAGGATGAGTGAAAACAGCCTAGAGATCCTTGACATTGTTTCTTAAATTGCTGTATCTATTAAAAATAGGCTTTTATTGGTAAATAATTGAGTCTGGAAGGAGTAAATTTCACATTAAACACTAAACAAATGTAATAGAAGAAGTACTTACCGATCGGTTTATTTTAGCAACATCTGGTCGGTCTTCCCAGAAGGGGAAAAGATTCTGGAAGGACTTCGGTTCCAGACCAGCAAACACAATAAATACTTGGGAGAAATCGCGTTCAAGTTCTGAAAACAAGAAATGACTTCAAGGTTAATGAAGGGAAAACTCGAAATTCGCGGTCTTTTGCTTAAAAAAAAAAAAGTTTAGTGCCCAACTATTATACAGTCGAACCTCCACTGAGCGGCCAGCGGCCTCTTTCAAGCGGACAGCAATTAAAGTCCCGAAATAATTCTAATTGTCACATCAATTAAGCGGCCAGCAAGCGCTTGATACACGTACTTTGGCTTTGTTTAAAAAATATGAGGGAAAATACAGTCCGTGAAAAAAGGTGCGGACCAGTAACGCTGCCTCAGTCGAGTGTTTTCAAATAAAGTGATGTTTCTACTCACGATCATGTTAATTTATGAAGAACTTCTATTGAGCGGCCAAATTAATTTGGGAGAGAAGGAAATAGTACCTTAAGCGGGTTGGGGAGGGGGCGCGGGGCGGGGCGTTGATGCGCAGGGGGGGGGAGGGGGAGCGTTGATGGTGGCAGGGAAGAATAAAACAGTACCTTGAGCGTAAGATTTTATCGTTTCCATTGCCAATCTTCGGTCATTACTCCAACGCGTTTCCGCAGAACCAGTTGTGGAAGCTCTGGATTCTGAATCTTCATCATTCGGCCACCAGCCATGCCATAGATACATCTCATTTACTGCATCTACCAGGAATAATGCTGTAGAGAAACAAACTCGGTAAGGAACTTGCTTTCCTTCACCCTATCAGATTTTCTGGCAGAGACCTGCCCAAGGGGAATGGGCAACAACGGGGCTTCTAGCTACAGGTCCCACGCAAGGCACCTTCCCCTTCATAACTAGAAGTTAGCGTACAAAGGACTTCTCGATGACACAATAACACTTTCAAGAGAAATACTTTCACTCCAAGACCAAGCTACAGCACATAATATGTTATAACTGTTAAATCTGTGGACGAAATATTATGGTGTTACCATTTAAAGGAAACCTCGTCAGCAGTACTTTCCCATGGCACTATTTATTTAGTATGCAGTTCTAACTTTTGAGTCTGTGGACGAAATCCTATTGTGCGACCATTTGTTTCGTTGGATTTTAAAAAAAGAGATTTTCTAGCTACTATTAGTAGCGAAAGGCCCGGTTAATGGTAACGCGATTCCCGAACGAAATCAACCAGTCCTAAGTTTTGTTTATCATTACCCAAATCCTTATCTGAGCGGTTTCTTCACGTAAATTGTGAACAACCAGCACATGCTCTATCAATACTACGAAACTTTCTCAAGAGGATTCAAAATCCTGCTCCAAAAATGCCGTTACTCCTAAACATGTGTAACGGGGAGTCGAAATCGAAACATTATCCATCCCACGTTATTACAAAATGAGATGCAAGTCGTCAATCGTGCAAATTGCAAAAAATGGAACGATAGAGTAACTTTCGCTCTGCAATTCTTAATTATTATTAAATAATTACGTTGTATTAGAAATGATTAGTTTCATTTTGTACGCGTAATATTGTATGTTTTCCTTTTCTCTCTCCCATGCGTAAAAGGAGCCTGGAAAGTAGGATTGCAGGTGACAAGAGTGGGCTGCAATTATTGGTGTAACACTAGTTCCCAACCAATCTCAGCCCAGCAACAAAGAAAACAAGTAGTTTTCAAAACTCCGTTGTTATTTGATGCGGTACAAAACGAAAAGATGAATGCTGTGGCAGAACATTTTAAACGCTAACTATACTCACTGCCCCTGATTCAACTGCTTTAGTCTTAACTAAAAGGCGTGTTTTCGTCAAGGCCAATGAGCTCGTTAAATTTATGTGTAATTTTCGGCTTTTTGCAAGCCATAACAAAGAAAATAGCAGCCACTGAGGACTGCAAAATTGATTCTACCATAGACTGGGTTTCTGCATTAAGATTACCACCGCTGAGCTGGACTTCAGCTCTAATTTAAGGCTTGATTCCAGAGGTCAATATGGAAAATGGATTCCTCGTATCTAACACTTTGCGTCGTAAATGCTTTCCTATCTTCTATCGCCTCTATACTCAATATTCTGACCATCTACGCGATAAGAAAGACTCCGTCCTTGGCAAAGAATTTAAAAATATTGCTTCTGAGTTTAGCAGTTTCTTATCTTGGTATTAGCTTACTGGCGCAGCACATGTATCTTGCACAACTCATTATGAAGTGGAAATACCGCAATGAATCTTATAATGCAATTTATATCGCGCATCTTATCCCGACGAATATCTTTATTACTGCGACATTGTTTAGTGTCAAGGCTCTATGTGCAGAGAGATTTTTGGCAATTCAACTTCACCTCAGATACCAGGAACTTGTGATGTACAGGCGCGTTATTATTGCCGTAATCTCAATTTGGGTATTTAGCACACTTACTTTATTGCTCAAGTTGTGGATCCCAAAAAGTATCATGTTCGTATTTTCTGTTATTAAAGATTCTTCTTCTATTATAACTGCAACTTTCCTGAGCATCAAACTTTACCTTACTCTACGACGCCACATGAATCAAATGCAACTCACGCAAGTTGCGCAGAATGAGCAAGGCGAAAGTGTTCAAAGAAAAAGGAGATCTGCGATGGCATCGCTTTACGTGTATTTGGTTTTCACAGTTTGCTATTTACCTAATATTTGTGTGTTCATTATCATCGGTTCCACTTCCGAACCAAGGAACGATCTACAGCATTTGCACTTTTATACTCCGTCCCTGTTGTTTCTTAATTCAACCCTTAACCCACTAATCTACTGCTGGAAAGTGAAACAAATTCGACACACTGTGATAGCCACACTGCGAAATATATTGTCAAATCACATTTAACGAAACCTTTGGGAGGATTTGGAACACCTTATCAAGTACAAACCGGCGTCAAGCAGTTCTTCCTTCGGGAAATGACGGCATTTTCAAGTTACACTAACTACACAAAATTTAAGAGAGTTTCAGTGCGATGTGTCTTGCCTCTAAAACTATTTCGTCTCTTTTCACCTTCAAAATATTATCTAGCTAGTTATGAAAAATATCACAGATTTCATGACTGTCTAAGAAACAAGAACTATTTTTAACCCTTATCTTGGGAATTGTAAATTATCAATTAGAAGTCGCTACTACAACGCCAAAAACCGCACGTCACTAGCTTTCCAGTATCAGCGCATTAGGCGGCATATAATATTAAATGCAGTCAAGAAATAGCGAATTTAATAAAAAACGCTATACTTACCTTATTCATTCAAGATTTTATGACTGAGATCAACACCGCTATGCACTAAAATTGTTGGACGGGTTATCTACATCGAGAATTACCATTTTAGAGTATTTTGCAATAGAAACAGAGCAGGAACATAGCCTTGCATGTGTTCTCTCAACATTCCCCTCGTCCGGCGGATGCGATAAAGCGGCTGCATACAACGGAAAAATGTTTGGACAAGGTTACCGGTGATTTGATTAATTTTTTTTTTGGAAACCAAACTTGCTGTTTTCTGACTGCTTTGAAAATTACACATAAAACACAAAAAGCAATCGTACAGAGCGTCTTTACAGCAAGTGAGACCAAGTAAAATATACTAACATGTTCATCCATGTAGTTGGGTTAAAAGAATGACGAGGAAAAATTTAATAAGGTAACTTTTCTAAATATAGTTGATCCAACAGCCTTAGTTCAAGTTCAAATAAAGCAGCACGCCACATTGCTAAATATTTTAATGAATTTAAGTTTACATCAGAGAATACGGAGGACAGATAAGATTTCGCCTCTTCTCCGCATTTCGGGATACAGTGTAAAATATATGATAACATATAACGCCGACAGTGGTAAAACTACAAATATATATACATATATAAAAACTTTAATTATGACTTACTGTCAAAGGTAGAAAAAAAAAATGATGGACAAGTTGGTTTTCCGATGATTACGTTGAACTGAGTTTAATTTGTAAAACAAAACCCCTGTTTTCTAATTGCTTTAAAGCTTGAATATAGAAACCAATATTCATAACAATTTTGCAACCTGTTCAAGTGACAACAAGGAGGACATCTCTTTTGACACACAAAGAAGAAGCCGCCTGTTAAAAAGAAACTTTTTGTCTCTACTCTGTAAAAGAGAAATCTTGGTCAAAGATCAAAGGCTAGCTTATTGACCGTTGGGGACAGTCCACAATAACTTATTCTACTGCAATATCTTGCTTTACGACAAATTCAAGAAAGGATAACAAATGGATTCCTCGTACTTCACACTGAGCCTTTCAAACGCATTTTTATCTTACACCGCCACCATGCTAAACATTGTTACAATCCACGCGATCAGAAAGACTCCGTCTTTGTCAAAAAATTTAAAAGCATTGCTCTTGAGTCAGGCCGTTTCTGATCTTGGTGTCGGACTGCTGGCTCAGCCAATGTATGTTGCACGTCTTATTATGGAGTCGAAGCCAAACAGTAGGACTAACAGTTCTTATAATGCCATCTATATCGCGCACCTTATTCCGACCAATTTGTCTACTCTCGCTACGTTGTTTCTCATCGTTATTCTGTGCGCTGAGAGATTCGCGTCCGTTCATTTTTACCTTAGTTACCATGAACTTGTAACACACAAACGCGTTGTTGCTGTTGTCGTCTCAATTTGGTTCCTTAGCGGACTTCTTTCATCAATGAGACTGTGGATTCCTAAAAGTATTACGTACGTGGTTTACGGAGTTGCTGGTTCTTCTTGCATTATAGCTGCCATTTTTTTCAGTGTCCGAATTTATTTATCCGTGCGACGCCACGTGAACCAAATTCAAGTGCTGCAGCTACAACAAGCATCGCAGAATGGTCAAATGGCTAACATTAAAAGGATGCGTAAGTTTGCCATCATGGCAGTTTACGTTTGCCTGGTTTTGCTGGTTTGCTATCTGCCAAATGGTTTCACTTTATTTGTTACTGCCTTAAGCGGATCAAACACTGGTATAAATCATCTTCAACACTATACTCTAACGCTAGAGCTTCTGCATTCATCGCTTAATCCACTGATATACTGTTGGAAGATCAAACACGTTCGACACACTGTCATTGGCATACTACGAAATGCATTGAAATTGTCAAAGCACTACTAAAGCTGAAAAAGTTAAGCGAGGTTCAACTTAGACCCTGTTTACATGGAGTGGGGGACCCCGGTCTAGTGGGGTAAGTTTCTTTTGTTTTGTGTTCCCCAGAGCGTGAAAACAAAAGAAACCAACCCCACTAGACCGGGGTCCCCCACTCAAAGGTAAACAGGCCCTTAGTTATGTTTGCGCTTGACCTTCCATACATTGCCTTTATTTTATTTTCGCGCTTAAAATTTGCGTGCTTACGCACGTGAAAATTACTCTTCCGTGGAAATACACCTTTATTGCCTCTATTTTATTTACGCGCGTAAAATTTGTATAGGTAATAGCATGATTTGTAGTGATATTTGGCATAAATACCACTAGTGATATTTCGAAATTGTTCTACGTATAAATTTGAGACAGTTTTGAAATATCACAAATGGTATATTATTTGTTTATACTACTACCCTCAAAAGGTTTGTAATTTTCACATGTAGGTATTTCAAATTAAGCTGAAATACCACTGCTCTAAGCCAATCAAATTGCAGAAATTTCTCATGCAGTAGTATAAGTACCCACGCCACCTCGAAAACCTCGGATAATGCTTCTGTTCACACGTAAGAACGGTGATTATGGAGAGATTTCTGTAAAGCAGCCACGCTGCGCCTAGCCTTCCACGCAGGCCTTTTAAGGGGATCTCATATTTCGTCCCTCCCCACAAACGCCTGCTCAACCGAGAACAACATTCCTTTCCCATTGTCAGGGGCGTAGCTTGGGGGGGTCCTGGGGCGCCCGTAACTCCCCCTTAGTAGGCCTTCTTTTGACCAAACAACCTATAATTTTCAGGTGGCGAAAACGCCATGACAATATCGTGGCCGTAAAAGCCATTGTTGGAAAGCCCACTTTTTTAAAATTTGGTTTTTTGTAAAGTATTTTCGTCAACGGCTCTTGTCTTTAGTTAATATGGGCCTTCATGCCGCGATAATACGACTGAGCCCGCTGATACACGAGGGAGAGCTACATGTTTTTTATTTATAATTTGGGAGAGAAGGAAATAGTTCCTTAAGCGGGTTGGGGAAGGGGTGGGGGGGGAGGGGGGGTTGATGGTGGTGGGAGAGAATTAAACAGTACCTTGAGCGTAAGACTTTATCGTTTCCATTGCCAATCTTCGGTCATTACTCCAACGCGTTTCCGCAGAACCAGTTGTGCAAGCTCTGGATTCTGAATCTTCATCATTCGGCCACCAGCCATGCCATAGATACATCTCATTTACTGCATCTACCAGGAATAATGCTGTGGAGAAACAAACTCGGTAAGAAACTTGCTTTCCTTCACCCTATCAGCGTAAAAGGAGCCTGGAAAGTAGGATTGCGGGTGACAAGAGTCGGCTGCAATTATTGGTGTAACACTAGTTCCCAACCAATCTCAGCTCAGCAACAAATAAAAAAAAAAGTGGTTTTCAAACCTCCGTTGTTATTTGATGCGGTACAAAACGAAACTGAAGATGAATGCTGTGGCTAAACTTTTTAAACGCTAACTATACTCACTGCCACTGATTCAACTGCTTTAGTCTTAACTAAAACGAATAGGCGAATTTTCGTCGCTCGTTAAATTTATTTATAATTTTCGGCTTTTTGCGAGCAATAACAAAGAAAATAGCAGCCACTGAGGACTGCAAAATTGATTTTACCATAGACTGCGTTTCCGCATTAAGATTACCACCGCTGAGCTGGACTTCAGCTCTAATTTAAGGCTTCATTCCAGAGGTCAAAGTCCTGGTATCTAACACTTTGCGTCGTAAATGCTTTTCTATCTTCCATCGCCTCTATACTCAATATTCTGATAATCCACGCGATAAGAAAGACTCCGTCCTTGGCAAAGAATTTAAAAATATTGCTTCTGAGTTTAGCAGTTTCTCATCTTGGTATTAGTTTACTGGCGCAGCCCATGTATGTTGCACAACTCACTATGCAGTGGAAATACCGCAATGAATCTTATAATGCCATTTATATCGCCGATCTTATCCCGACGAATATCTTTATTACTGCGACATTGTTTAGTGTTAAGGCTCTATGTGCAGAGAGATTTTTGGCAATTCAACTTCACCTCAGATACCAGAAACTTGTGATGTACAGGCGCGTTATTATATCCGTAATCTCAATTTGGGTATTTAGCACACTTACTTTATTGCTCAAGTTGTGGATCCCAAAAAGTATCATGTTCGTATTTTCTGTTATTAAAGATTCTTCTTCTATTATAACTGCAACTTTCCTGAGCATCAAACTTTACCTTACTCTACGACGCCACATGAATCAAATGCAACTCACGCAAGTTGCGCAGAATGAGCAAGGCGAAAGTGTTCAAAGAAAAAGGAGATCTGCGATGGCATCGCTTTACGTGTATTTGGTTTTCACAGTTTGCTATTTACCTAATATTTGTGTGTTCATTATCATCGCTTCGGCACTTCCGAACCAAGGAACGATCTACAGCATTTGCACTTTTATACTCTGACCCTGTTGTTTCTTAATTCAACCCTTAACCCACTGATCCACTGCTGGAAAGTGAATCACATTCGACACACTGTAATAGCCACACTGCGAAATATATTGTCAAATAACATTTAACGAAACCTTTGGGAGGATTTGAAACGCCTTATCAAGTACAAACCGGCGTCAAGCAGTTCACCCTGCGGGAACTGACGGCATTTTCAAGTTACACTAACTACACAAAATTTAAGAGAGTTTCAGTGTGATGTGTCTTGCCTCTAAAACTATTTCATCTCTTTTCACCTTCAAAATATTATCTCGTTATGAAAAATATCACAGATTTTATGACTGTCTAAGAAACAAGAACTATTTTTAACTCTTATCTTGGGTATTGTAAATTATCAATTAGAATTCGCTATTGCAACGCCAAAAACCGCACGCCATTTGCTTTCCAGTATCAGCGCATTAGGCGGCATAATATTGAATGTAGTCAAGAAATAGCGAGTTTAATAAAAAACGCTATACTTACCTTATTCATTCAAGATTTTATGACTAAGATCAACACCGCTATCCACTAAAATTGTTGGACGGGTTTTCTACATCGAGAATTGCCATTTTAGAGTATTTTGCAACAGAAACAGAGCAGGAACATAGCCCTGCATGCGTTCTCTCAACATTTCCCTCGTCCGGCGGATGCCATAAACAGGCTCCATGCAGCGGACAAATGTTTGGACAAGGTTACCGGTGATTTGATTAATTTTTTTTGGAAACCAAATTTGCTGTTTTCTGATTGCTTTGAAAATTACACATAAAACACAAAAAGGAATCGTACAGAGCGTCTTTACAACAAGTGAGACCAAGTAAAATATACTAACATGTTTATCCATGTAGTTGGGTTAAAAGAATGACGAGAAAAAAATTTTTAAGGGTAACTTTTGTAAATAGAGTTGATCCAACAGCCTTAGTTTACGTTCAAATAATAAGCAGCGCGTCACATTGCTAAATCAGTATTTTAATGAATTAAGATTTGCCTCAGAGAATACGGAGGACAGATAGGATTTCACCTTTTTTCCGCATTTTGGGATACAGTGTAAAATATATGATAACATATAACGCCGACAGTGGTAAAACTACAAATATATATACATATATAAAAACTTTAACTACAGGGACCGCGGAACAAGGTGAAAAGTGGGAGGGCTGACAATTGAAAATAATTTTTTCATATTGAAAATCGAAAAAAGGAATAAAATCATAGTATGTGATTTTCCAAAAGTGGGGGCGGGGGCGCAAAAAAGTGGTGGGGCCGCGGCCCTACCAGCCCCTCCCCCTCCGCAAACTATGACTTACTGTCAAAGGTGGGAAAAAAAATGATGGACAAGTTGGTTTTCCGATGATTACGTTGAACTGAGTTTAATTTGTTAAACAAAACCCCTGTTTTCTAATTGCTTTAAAGCTTTTTGCAACCTGTTCAAGTGACAACAAGGAGGACATCTCTTTTGACACACAAAGAAGAAGCCGCCTGTTAAAAAGAAACTTTTTGTCTCTACTCTGTAAAAGAGAAATCTTGGTCAAAGATCAAAGGCTAGCTTATTGACCGTTGGGGACAGTCCACAATAACTTATTCTACTGCAATATCTTGCTTTACGACAAATTCAAGAAAGGATAACAAATGGATTTCTCGTACCTCACACTGAGCCTTTCAAACGCATTTTTATCTTACACCGCCACCATGCTAAACATTGTTACAATCCACGCGATCAGAAAGACTTCGTCTTTGTCAAAAAATTTAAAAGCATTGCTCCTGAGTCAGGCCTTTTCTGATCTTGGTGTCGGATTGCTGGCTCAGCCAATGTATCTTGCACGTCTTATTATGGAGTCGAAGCTAAACAGTGGGACTAACAGTTCTTATAATGCCATCTATATCGCGTACCTTATTCCGACCAATTTATTTACTCTCGCTACGTTGTTTCTCATTGTTATTCTGTGCGCTGAGAGATTCGCGTCCCTTCATTTTTACCTTAGTTACCATGAACTTGTAACACACAAACGCGTTGTTGCTGTGGTCGTCTCAATTTGGTTCCTTAGCGGACTTCTTTCATCAATGAGACTTTGGATTCCTAAAAGTACTACGTACGTGGTTTACGGAGTTGCTGGTTCTTCTTGCATTATAGCTGCCATTTTTTTCAGTGTCCGAATTTATTTGTCCGTGCGACGCCACGTGAACCAAATTCAAGTGCTGCAGCTACAACAAGTATCGCAGAACGGTGAAATGACTAACATTAAAAGGATGCGTAAGTTTGCTATCATGGCAGTTTACGTTTGCCTGGTTTTGCTGGTTTGCTATCTGCCAAATGGTTTCACTTTATTTGTTACTGCCTTAAGCGGATCAAACACTGGTATAAATCACGTTCATCACTATACTCTAACGCTAGAGCTTCTGCATTCATCGCTTAATCCACTGATATACTGTTGGAAGATGAAACACGTTCGACACACTGTCATTGGCATACTGCGAAATGCATTGAAATTGTCAAAGCACCACTAAAGGTGAAAAAGTTAAGCGAGGTTCAACCTAGTTATGTTTGCGCTTGACCTTCCATACATTGCCTTTATTTTCGCGCTTAAAATTTGCGTGCTTACGCACGTGAAAATTACTCTTCCGTGGAAATACACCTTTATTGCCTCTATTTTATTTACGCGCGTAAAATTTGCGTGCTTACGCACGTGAAAACTACGCTTTAGTGGAAATCCACCATTACTGCTTTACGCCAAGTTCATACCGGATAGTACCCATGCCACCTCGAAAACCTCAACGGATAAGGCTTCTGTTCACACATTAGAACGGTGATTATGGAGAGATTTCTGTAACGCAGCCACGCTGCGCCTAGCCTCCCACGCAGGCCTTTTTAGGGGATCTCATATTTCGTCCCTCCCCACAAACGCCTGCTCAACCGAGAACAACATTCCTTCCCATTGTCAGGGGCGTAGCTAGGGGGGGTCCTGGGGCGCCCGTAACCCCCCCCCCCCTTAGTAGGCCTTCTTTTGACCAAACAACCTATAATTTTCAGGTGGCGAAAACGCCATGACAATATCGTGGCCGTAAAAGCCATTGTTGAAAAGCCCACTTTTTTAAAATTTGTTTTTTTGTAAAGTATTTTCGTCAACGGCTCTTGTCTTTAGTTAATATGGGCCTTCATGCCGCGATAATACGACTGAGCCCGCTGATACACGAGGGAGAGCAGCGGTATAAACCATACATAGTCGGCGATCCCCGGATGGTGACCCCCCTTTGAAAAATCCTGGCTACGCCCCTGATTGTTTTATTCGCGTGGTACGTGACCAATCAACAGTTGTGAAAAAAGATGTTGACAGGCTTAACACGACTCATAAGCTCGTGGTAGTGTAAAAACGTGACCCCAGAGTTACCTTTTTCCTTCTTTTCTTTCCTTCGCTAAGGTTATGCAGTGCACGGAGTATTCTAAAATCTGACTAAATCTTACTTTTGCCGCTCTGAGTCTAACAAATGTTAGAGGTCATAAAGCTTTCCTTGCGTTCAATGCAGATCGACTAATTATCGGGTTACCCTGCGGTCAAGGTCACCTTTCCAGAATATGGAAAGTCGATGTGATTGGCTAAGCTTGGGAAAGGAATGTTGTTCTCGGTTGAGCAGGCGTTTGTGGGGAGGGACGAAACACGAGCTCCCCTAAAAACGCCTGCGTGGGAGGCTACGCTGCGCAACGTCGATCTTTTAAGTGGATCTTCACATATCGTACAGAGCGTTTTCACATGACGTCACGGCGGCAATATTGGTGTTCCGAAACAATGAAACGGCGGCCATGTTGGTGTACCTAGAAAACCCTCTGGGAGTTTAACTCTTTCCTCATGTAAACGCTTTCTTTTGTTCCAATAAATTAGTATAGATGCTGGCCACGTGAGTGAAAACGCCCTACAGGTTTCTCCATCGCAGCGTGGAAAAGTATGCAGACCGTAGCGGAAGTAAATAAGTAGGAGCGAGGACTGGAACCCACTGACAAGGAAGTAAATATTCAAAAGTAGGGGTTGGGATTTAGTGTTGTTGAGTGTACTTTGCTAATGTAGTTAAAACAAAGTTCGGCAAGTCTTTGTAACTAGAACTAGTTTTATAGAGAGTTTTCATTCACGTGGCCAGCATCTATGCAAATTTCTTGGAATAAAAGAGAGCGTTTGCATAAGAAAAGAGTTCAACTCCCAGAGGATTGGTTTGGGACACCAACATGGCCGCCGTGACGTCATGTGAAAACACTCTATAGCAGAGTAAATAGCTTAAGAGAGGAAATACATTAAATATCGTTATGATATCGTTAGAAAAAAAATAGAAAAAAAATCAACGTACGGAAACAAAAGTGCCTTAAAAAAGCTTTAACAAATTCCGTCCGTCTTCGGATTCTCTTGTTGAAATAATGCGGTACAAAACATAAGACAGACTGTTGACGAAATGTTTGTGTCGTCGATCTTACACATGGCAAATATGAAAGGATGTTTAAGGGGCTGAGCTCGGGAAGATTTTAAAATGTTTATCCCCCTATAAAAATTGATTCAACTACTCATAGTCGTAACTAATATGCATTATGCCATCTCACCGAATAATCTGATGAATTTTAATTTATAACAAATTAAAGCATGTGATCATCAAGTAGTGAAGAAAGCAATTAATAACATCAAATAAAACGGCTAAAAATTGTTCAAATCGTGTAGAAATTAAAAAGAACGTCAGGTTCATTGTTATTTGTTCATGATTTTATGACCGAGTAAGAGATAAAAATTTTCATTTTTCGCATTAGAATCGTTGGGCAGTTTTGTTACATTGCGGAACTGACACCTTAAATTATTAGTTAAGAGAAATGGAGCAGGAATGAAGATTGGCATGTGTTATCTCAACATTTCGCTTTACCGGATGCGATAAATAGGCCTCGCCGAGAAAAAAAAAGTTTAATTTGAAACGAAAACGCCTGTTTTCTAATTGCTTTGAAGGTAAAAAAATGAAAATGAAGAAATGATCGTCGCAGTGAACGCAATTTATGAAGCCTGAAAAAAATTCAGGAAATTCAGGCTTCTTTACGCGATTGCATAAATTGCGTTCACTGTGACGATCATTTCTTCATTTTCATTTCATTTCCGCAGTTCATATATGATTTATTTCATATATCATTAACACTGCTTTGAAGTTAGTAAATATATTTATATATAACACTCATTCAAAACGTATAAAAAAACAAGGGAAACATCTGTTTTGCCACACTGTAATGCCCGATCAACAGTAGATGTCTTTTCAGAAATTTTTCATCGTGGTTCAGTTAACTGCTCATCAAAGTTTAACTTACGGAACGTCTTGATATAATTTCTCTTAACGTTTAGTCAATCCGTGTCGTGGCTCTAGTCGGAGTAGGTCTAGAAAACTGATCCTACTGAACTCCTGAAAGATCAAACGCTTGTGCACGGTCCGAGAAGGATTTTACATGCTTCAAGCACCAGAAATCCATAAAGGACAACAAATGGATTGGTCGAATCTCACACGTTGTGTATTAAACGCGTACTTGTCTTACACCGCCATCATGCTGAACATTGTAGCAATCTACGCGATCAGAAAAACTCCATCATTGTCAAAAAATTTAAAAGCTTTGCTTCTGTGTCTGGCTGTTTCTGATCTTGGTGTTGGTTTACTAGCTCAGCCAATGTATGTTACACGACTTGTTGTGGACTCAACACAAACGAATACAACTTATAATACCATATTTGTCGCGTTTCTTATTCTGACGAATTTGTTCACTTTTGCGTCATGGTTTAGTGTCACGGCTCTCTGTGCAGACAGATTTTTCGCCATTTACCTTCACCTCAGATACCAAGAACTTGTGAAATACAAGAGCGTTGCTGCTGCAGTTGTCTTCATTTGGATATTCAGCGCACTTATTTCACTGATGAGTTTTTCGTCAACGGCTCTTGTCTTTAGTTAATATGGGCCTTCATGCCGCGATAATACGACTGAGCCCGCTGATACACGAGGGAGAGCAGCGGTATAAACCATACATAGTCGGCGATCCCCGGATGGTGACCCCCCCTTTGAAAAATCCTGGCTACGCCCCTGATTGTTTTATTCGCGTGGTACGTGACCAATCAACAGTTGTGAAAAAAAGTGTTGACAGGCTTAACACGACTCATAAGCTCGTGGTAGTGTAAAAACGTGACCCCAGAGTTACCTTTTTCTTTCTTTTCTTTCCTTCGCTAAGGTTATGCAGTGCACGGAGTATTCTAAAATCTGACTAAATCTTACTTTTGCCGCTCTGAATCTAACAAATGTTAGAGGTCATAAAGCTTTCCTTGCGTTTAATGCAGATCGACTAATTATCAGGTTACCCTGCGGTCAAGGTCACCTTTCCAGAATATGGAAAGTACAATGTGATTGGCTAAGCTTGGGAAAGGAACGTTGTTCTCGGTTGAGCAGGCGTTTGTGGGGAGGGACGAAACACGAGCTCCCCTAAAAACGCCTGCGTGGGAGGCTACGCTGCGCCGCGTCGATCTTGTAAGTGGATCTTCACATATCGTACAGAGCGTTTTCACATGACGTCACGGCGGCAATATTGGTGTTCCGAAACAATGAAACGGCGGCCATGTTGGTGTACCTAGAAAACCCTCTGGGTGTTTAACTCTTTCCTCATGTAAATGCTTTCTTTTGTTCCAATAAATTAGTATAGATGCTGGCCACGTGAGTGAAAACGCCCTACAGGTTTCTCCATCGCAGCGTGGAAAAGCATGCGGACCGTAGCGGAAGTAAATAAGTAGGAGCGAGGACTGGAACCCACTGACAAGGAAGTAAATATTTAAAAGTAGGGGTTGGGATTTAGTGTTGTTCAGTGTACTTTGCTAATGTAGTTAAAACAAAGTTCGGCAAGTCTTTGTAACTAGAACTAGTTTTATAGTGTTTTCATTCACGTGGCCAGCATCTATGCAAATTTCTTGGAATAAAAGACAGCGTTTGCATAAGAAAAGAGTTCAACTCCCAGAGGATTGGTTTGGGACACCAACATGGCCGCCGTTTCATTGTTTTGGGACACCAAATATGGCCGCCGTGACGTCATGTGAAAACACTCTATGGCAGAGTAAATAGCTTAAGAGAGGAAATACATTAAACAAGTAACCTTGGAAATGTAGTATTGACAAAGAAAGGAAAGGGTTGATGTCGTGTCTTAAAAAAGCTTTAACAAATTCCGTCCGTCTTCGGATTCTCTTGTTGAAATAATACGGTACAAAACATAAGACAGACTGTTGACGAAATGTTTGTGTCGTCGATCTTACACATGGCAAATATGAAAGGATGTTTAAGGGGCTGAGCTCGGGAAGATTTTAAAATGTTTATCCCCCTATAAAAATTGATTCAACTACTCATAGTCGTAACTAATATGCATTATGCCATCTCACCGAATAATCTGATGAATTTTAATTTATAACAAATTGAAGCATGTGATCATCAAGTAGTGAAGAAAGCAATTAATAACATCAAATAAAACGCCTAAAAATTGTTCAAATCGTGTAGAAATTAAAAAGAACGTAAGGTTCATTGTTATTTGTTCATGATTTTATGCCCGAGTAAGAGATAAAAATTTTCATTTTTCGCATTAGAATCGTTGGGCAGTTTTGTTACATTGCGGAACTGACACCTTAAATTATTAGTTAAGAGAAATGGAGCAGGAATGAAGATTGGCATGTGTTATCTCAACATTTCGCTTTACCGGATGCGATAAAGAGGCCTCGCCGAGAAAAAAAAAGTTTAATTTGAAACGAAAACGCCTGTTTTCTAATTGCTTTGAAGGTAAAAAAAATGAAAATGAAGAAATGATCGTCGCAGTGAACGCAATTTATGCAATTGCGTAAAGAAGCCTGAAAAAAATTCAGGCTTCTTTACGCAATTGCATAAATTGCGTTCACTGCGACGATCATTTCTTCATTTTCATTTCATTTCCGCACTTCATATGATTTATTTCATATATCATTAACACTGCTTTGAAGTTAGTAAATATATTTATATATAACAATCATTCAAAACGTATAAATAAACAAGTGAAACATCTGTTTTGCCACACTGTAATGCCCGATCAACAGTAGATGTCTTTTCAGAAATTTTTCATCGTGGTTCAGTAAACTGCTCATCAAAATTTAACTTACAGAACGTCTTGATATAATTTCTCTCAACGTTAGTCAATCCGTGTCGTGGCTCGAGTCGGAGCAGGTCTAGAAAACTGATCCTACTGAACTCCTGAAAGGTCAAACGCTTGTGCAAGGTCCGACAAGGATTTTACATGCTTCAAGCACCAGAAATCCATAAAGGACAACAAATGGATTGGTTGAATCTCACACGTTGTGTATTAAACGCGTACTTATCTTACACCGCCATCATGCTGAACATTGTAGCAATCTACGCGATCAGAAAAACTCCATCATTGTCAAAAAATTTAAAAACTTTGCTTCTGTGTCTGGCTGTTTCTGATCTTGGTGTTGGTTTACTAGCTCAGCCAATGTATGTTACACGACTTGTTGTGGACTCAACACAAACGAACGCAACTTATAATACCATATTTGTCGCGTTTCTTATTCTGACGAATTTGTTCACTTTTGCGTCATGGTTTAGTGTCACGGCTCTCTGTGCAGACAGATTTTTCGCCATTTACCTTCACCTCAGATACCAAGAACTTGTGAAATACAAGAGCGTTGCTGCTGCAGTTGTCTTCATTTGGATATTCAGCGCACTTATTTCACTGATGAGTTTATTCATCTCAAAAGAAAGAATGAACGTAATTTTCGTTGTTGTTGTGACTGTTTGTATTACAACTGCAACGTCCATGAGCGTCAAACTTTACCTTACCACTCTACGCCATATTAACCAAATTCGAGTCACGCAAGTAGCGCTGAATAGTCAAGTCGAAAGCCTTCAAAGAAAAAGGAAATCTGCGATGGCATCGCTTTTCCTGTATTTTGCTACCATAGTTTGCTGTTTGCCTCATATTTGTAGGTTATTTATTACCGTCGCCATTTCCGAACCAGGGGTTTATGTACAGTATTTCCGCTTTTATGCTCTGACCCTGGTGTTTCTTAATTCAACCCTTAACCCACTGATCTACTGTTGGAAGATGAAACAGATACGAAACACTGTCATAGGCAAGCTACGAGAAGTATTTTCAAGTATATTTCAGTAAGACGAGGCTTCGTTTCAAAGCGCGTTTTGCACTCGTCGCAGCGATGCTGGTATCGGACAAAACAAAAAACTCTGCTTACGGTCCTTACGTATCCTGTTCGTGTCACCCTTTCATTGTGTCTAATTCAGCACTTTTTTTAGCAGTTTCTAATTTTTATGTATTCTTTTACAATCCGCAGCATACACACACAAGGAAAAAAAAAACAAAAGAAAAAACAAAAGAAAAACAGCAAAGTCTACCCTCAAAATTTCACCGAAAAAAACTCCACACCCATCAAATTAATGCACATTTCAATTGTTTCGAATAGCATATTATCAGTCGGGCTTCCCGAGTTCAATAATGGACTGAAGGCTGACGTGGAAGTTTCGTTGAAAATTTCTTTATTGGAGATCCTTTATTCAAGTGCCATTAGTCTTAACGTATATGCAACCTGTCATCTAGACAAAGATATTCTTTGAATTGGAAAAACCGTCGTGTTCATCATTTTTCATGGTCTAACGTACTTTTCAAAAACTATTGATTCAACTACTTTTAGTCATAACTAATAAGCAAAATTTCACCTTACTAAATAATCTGGAAACTTTTAACTTTAAATAAAACAAGTACTAGTAAAAGAGTTCAGAACCCATTTAACATGTAAAAAAAATAACAGCTGAATTTCCCAAATCAAGTAGAAGTTAAGAACAGACCTTGTCACGGTTTTCGACGCCATCTTGACGAGTACGTAGGCAAACGTGTGAGAAATTACAGTGTTTGTATGAGAATCTAACGTCGAATAATTTCCGTGAAACGGCTGTTCTGAAAAAAAATATGACTTGTAAACTAAAGCTACAAAACAAAGGATTGTACTAAAAAAATTTGGGGGCTTACCTGTGCTTAAATTTCTCCAAAAGGCTTGCTTTAGATTTTCTATATATTTGTCTGTAATTTTCGCGGGACTTTCTTGCAGACAAATGTATAGAAAATTTAAAAAAGTGTTTCTAGGTCTTCTAGCGCATGTAACGCCCTCAATTTTTTTCGGTAGAATCCTTAGGAGTGAAGCTTTAGTTTACAATTCATATTTTTCTTTTCACAACAGCCGTTCTATGGAAATTATTCGACATTTGATTCTCATACAAACACAGTAATTTCTCACGCGTTTGCCTACTCGTCAAGATGGCGTCGAAAACCATGACGAGGTCTATTCTTAAAGGGACTGGTTCACGATAATGCGCATGTGTGAGTTCTGACAGTAGCTGATTGTTTTTCAACCAATCGGAAACGAGTTAGATGCATGCAAGTAAATTTACAAAATTCAAATTAATTGTTCGCGACGCGAGAGTATTTCCGGGCATTTGGTTTGATTTTATTTATCCCCCTAATTCAAGTTTATTTTTTGCAACTCCTCAGATATATGTTGCAGCCGATAAGAATAAGATTTACAGCCCTGTCCTGCTTTGAAACAAACATTTACCAACGTGTATTTTTACGAGGTCGTACCCACGCTAACAAAGCAGTCACCGATCGGCAAACAAAATTTGTATCCAAACATCTTATTACTGTTCTCTCAGTTCGCCTTATATAAATCCAGAAATACCTACAAATAGCACCTGACCGGTGACAAAAACGCACAACGTATGAGTATAAAGATTATCCTTAATTGAGCATAAATTTCAAATGCTTATCAGCAAATGAACAAATTCATTCGCGTTGCATCGGGTCAGTGTTCCGCAAAACAAATGTTATCGAGTAGAACACATAAAGAAACTAGATTATAAACAGAATATTCAGGCAATAATTTATTTTAAAAACATCAATTCTTAAACATATATACGATCGTAAAGCAAAGATACAAGGAACATTTCAAGTGTACCAGATCAATGAAGATCGCGCGGCCTGTTGCGGTATAACTACAGGTCGGAGTCAAAAATCAAATCAAAGTTGAACGAACTCATGCCTTTAACCACTTTCCAAGTGTCGTGTATACTTTTCGTAAGCCGCACACTACTCCTAGAACCATACCAGATCGATAGGCTAAGCTTCTCTATCTCCAAAGACTCTGGAGAACGTCCTGTTGCCGGACGGCCACGATGCTCTTCTGAACCTCCATGATCAAAACATTATTTTTTTCGTTTTCTTAAAACGTAACCAGTCAAACGACACAACCACACGTTAATCACCACTACCGAAGTATAACTAGACCAGCAAAAGCGACGGATGTCCGAACAAAACGAAGGATTTTCAATGATTGTACCGGTAATGGCGATTTCGAATTTAGTGTTGACCCGACAAATTTTTTCTGAAGAGACAAACGGCTCGCATACGCATTATCGTGAACCAGTCCCTTTAATTTAAAACACTGTCATGTCTGTTTTTTATTCAAAATTTTGTGACTAAGTCAGAAATCAACACCTTTATTTTTCGCACTAAAATCGTTAAGCTGGTTTTTTATATTGTGAATTTCAGGAATATTCTTTTGAAAAGGGAATGAAATGTCGTCGTCAGGCAAGAAGACGGAAATGCAAATGCAGTCTGTCAACATTTCGTTCGACAGGGTACGATGGATAAAGGCGGCCCCGCCGACAAATAATGGTTTAGTTTCATTTTGAAATAATGGTAGTTTCTCATTTTAGCCTTGAGACATTTTTTGTTTTGCCGCTTTATTAGATAAAGCCAAAGGCCAAGCGATCCGCAACAGAGTGAGGGAACCATTTGACAAGTAAATAAAACAGCTGCAATTTTCCAAAGTGGGTATTCAACACCTTCACTGAAGCTCTTTTCGCTTCCAGGATTTCGTCTTGTCAGATTGTAATTCTGACAAAAATATCAAAGATTTCACCATGACAGTGGGAATAAAAATAAGGCAAACGCAGCGTGGTAAAATGTTTTGGTGCCGCTGAACCTACACAGTTGCGATTGGCAAGAAGCTAAAAACCAATGAAAAACTAAAACCAACAAACCCAAACAGGAACTTCAACGGGACTAATGAACCAAGGTCAGCTCTGACCTCACGTACACGACCACCTGTAAAAAACTTACACAGTAACGAAGAATATTCCAAAATAGACTTAGCAAAATTTGCGAACAAAGCATAAATTCAAGTACTAGTAAAATCACAAGATGAAAACAGGAAGACATCCATGTGGACAAAATCCTGACTTACTTGACCCACTTAACGAAACAAACACGAAACTTAAAAGTCGAGACAAATTTTAAATATAAGCTTTAACATACTTCACAACAATATTGTTATCCACCCGAAAAGGAAACCTTTAATTTAAACGCCAATAAACAGAATGTCATCATGACATTCTGTTTATTGGTACATTTGCAACACTTTCATGTTGCAAAGTTTAGTAACATGAAAGTGTTTAGTTGATTACAAGTAGGCGCCCAAAGGTATCGTTAAAGAAATACTAGTTAAAAAACGTTTTCATTTACTTTATTATTTGCGGATGCGATAAAGTGGGTCCCACCGAAAATATGGTTGGACAAGTTTGCCGGAGATTCTGTTGAAGTTGAGAAAAAACATAAATTAACATATAAGGTCATTGTTCAAAGCCATCTAATAAGTTCGACTACTTTTAATCTAGTCTCGACTAATAAGGAACACGTCATCTAATTACATGTTTTGGAGAATTAACCTTGAAATATAACTTTGACTTGAAATATAACCTAACTGTCATCAGCACCGTCGAGTGTTCAGAAGAAATGCTTCACCCTGGCTTCGCTAAAGAGTAATTTTAATCAATCTACTTATCAAAGGCCAGCTTACTTTGAACGTCTTGTAATTCTCCATAAACACCCGTAATTCTCAGTCACCATCGTAGTTCAGGAAGGGAGGCAGTCTGCGAAAACGGGTTAGTCATCTCTGGTTTCGCTAAGAAGAATTTTAATCAATCTGCTTATCAACGGCTAGCTTACTGAACGGCATGGTAGCTCAAGAGAAGAAAGTCCGCGAAAACTGGTTCTACTGAAATCGGCCTAAAAGATCAAACTCTTGCAAAATCCTTGGACTCAGAACAAAACCAAAAGGAACAACAAATGAATTACTTGCACCTCATACTTTGCCTTTTAAACGTATTTTCATCTTACACCGCCACCATGCTAAATGTTGTTACAATCCACGCCATAAGAAAAACTCTTTCATTGTCAAAGAACTTAAAAACATTGCTCCTTAGTCTGGCTGTTTCTGATCTTGGCGTTGGAATAGTAGCTCAACCGTTGTACGTTGCAAAACTTATCATCGACTCGAAGGACAACAACGAAATTAGTACGGAGCCTCAAAATGCTATCTACACGCAGCTTGTCTTATCCCAACGCATTTATTTTGTTTCGCTACTTTCTTTATCGTCACTGTTCTCTGTGCAGACAGATTCATGGCAATTCATTTTTATTTCCGATACCAAACCCTTGTGACACACAAGCGTGTTGTTGCTGTAGTTGTCTCAGTTTGGGCAGTCAGTGCAGTTTTTCCATTGGTGAGGCTGTTGGTTCCATGGAATATAATGTACGCGGTTTTTGGCATTAGTGAATCTGCTTGTATTATAGCTGCGACTTTCTTCAGTGTCAGAATCTATTTGTCCGTGCGACGTCACTTAAACGAACGACAAGTGCTACAACTACAACAAGCATCACAGACCGGACATATTATTAACACTGAAAGGCTGAGGAAGTTTGCGATCATGGCAGCTCACGTCTGTCTCATATTGATGGTTTGTTATTTGCCAATGACTGTCGTATTAGTTTATGTAGTTACCTCTGGATCAAACAATGTTAAAACGCATTTACTGTTAAATTTTGGCCTAACGCTAGTGTTTGTGAATTCATCGCTTAACCCACTAATCTACTGTTGGAAGGTAAAACACATCCGACACACCATCATTGGCTTATTACGAAATGCAGTTTCAAAGCACAACTGAGGAAAGTCTCAGAACATTGCGGCTGGACTACAAACAAAACAACTTTGACATCGTATTAAAGAACACGTAACATAAGAGCGAACAGCTTAAATTCTTCTATAGTGTAATTCTGTTCATTTTGAGGCAGTTTGACAGCATTTGAAACTCCCGCTTAAAGCAAGCGAAAGCAGCGAGTTTTTATGAATGAATTCAAAGCCCTCAGTTTATCGTCATTAAAAAGTAACCAGAAAGTTGTTAAAAAATTATTCACGAAAAGTATACTTCTCAGGAACCATAGAAATCACCAGAATGTGGCAGATGAAGAAAGAAATAATCCCCGTGGTCGTAGGCGCGTTAGAAGTGATTAAGACAGGCTCAGAGAAGCTCGTCAGCGAAATTTGATGAAACATCAATTTCTGGGAAATTCAAAGGACAGCATTGCTACGGATAATAATAATAATAATAATAATAATAATAATAATAATAATAATAATAATAATAATAATAATAATAAGGAGAAACAGAGGGATTACTTGTAGCAGCTCAAGACCAGGCAATAAACACCAGAAACTACCAGAAAGTAATATGTGGCCAGCCAGTGGAGAGCAAATGCAGATTGTGTTCGCAACATGAAGAGACAGTGGACCATATTGTATCTGGATGTGAGGTATTAGCCAAAACAGAGTACATCTCCAGGCACAATAATGCTGCAGCATATCTCCATTGGAGCATATGTAAAGATCATGATATAGAGATTACAGACAAATGGTACGAACACGAACCAGAGACCGTGATACACAATAAAGATAACAACATCACCATCATGTGGGACATGCCAGTCAATACTGATAGAACTATAACAGCGAACAGACCAGATATCATCGTTAAAGATTCAGTGAATTCCACCTGCAAACTTATTGATATGACTGTTCCATCAGATAGAAACATCGCACTGAAGGAAACTGAAAAAAAATGCAAGTACAAAGACCTAGAACTAGAAATACAGAGAATGTGGCATATGAAAACCGTAGTGATCCCTGTGGTTGTTGGTGCGCTTGGTACAGTGAAGAAGGGTATGGTAGAAAACATCAAGAAAGTATCAGAGAGAGCTACTATGACAGAGATTCAAAAGATCTGCATGCTGGGATCTGCACGAATCCTTAGAAAGGTGCTCAGTGTATGAACAGAATGATTGACTTGAGTGACTGACGCTCTAGGTGCATGGTTTGCGCCCGGCTGATGCACAAAAAAAACACCAGCAAAGACTGTGATAATAGAGACAATAATAATAATAATAATAATAATAATAATAATAATAATAATAATAATAATAATAATAATAATAATAATAATAATAATAATAATAATCTCAGTTTGTCGTTGTCGCCGTCGTGGCTGCTTACGTTCCCTAATGGTAACAAGGCGTCGCCGAAACGTGATGCTTTAATAGCGCCTCTTTAAATTTTTAAATATTGCATAAAATATTGCGTTGGCAGAATATTTTCATGACATCTTCAAAAATGACTTAACTGTCACAGGTAAAATGATCGAACAAATTTACAAGTAAGTAAGTTGAGGGGAATTTAAACAAAACCTCCCGTTTTCTAATTTTCACAATTGTCATAGAAACAAGCAAGACATCTGTTCAGCCACTTAGATAAAAGGAAACGTTTTACCCTGGCTTACTTTAAGAGAATTTTTAGTCAAACTACTGGTCAAAGGCTAGATTACTGGACGTCTTGGAACTATCCACACATTACTCAGCTTGTGGCTATTAAATGCTAAACACCCTAACAAAAATTATTGATACAACTGCTTTTACATATATCTATGATTACAGCGCAAACTCTCTTGTTTCCTTAGAAAGGAAAGAATGTGCAAAACACCCTGGTGTTCTTATTGATTTAAAATTATCTTGGACGCATCGTATCAAATATATTTCTACCAAAACCAGCAAATCATAAGGTACCATTGCAAGACTAAGGCATTTTGTCCCTTCTTCCCCTTTATTAAACATAAATCGTTCTCTTGTACAACCTTGCTTGTTTTATGGTATAGCCGTCTGGGGCCAAGCTCACGCCTGCTCCCACAAATTTGGAGAAAATTTTGATTCCTCAAAAACGTGCCCTTGGATTGATTCATTTCAAACCCTTTAGGTTCCACGGTGTATCTCTGCTCAAATTGTCTAATGTTCTTCCTCTTAATTTTTAGTCTCGCTTGCTTTAGCAAAGCGAGAATCTTAAAATGCAGTTGTTTTTTTTTTTTTTTTCGGTGGGACCTAGTTTGTAGGCCTCGCGTTCCTAGCGAAGACCGTGGAAACTGGGGATAAGAATCGTGACGACTTTCATTGTATGGAAATGAGTCTTGTAATGAGCATGTGGTTTATTTTGGGGGATGACTGGAATAACACGCAATGTTTATCACGTTTAAGTGCTTTCCTCCCATGTAATAAATCAGACTTTCTTTTTTTCCTTAAAACAGGTTACGTTTCATGCTTATATGACATAGTAAGCCGATAAAATCGTAAGTGCAAAACAGACATAACAAAAAGTAAAACTGTAAACACGTGGTTTCTCTGATCTTAAGGTAATCTGGTTCTGACCTTCACGTGCGAAAAAGTAAATACAGCTAAACGTGACAGAAAGAATGGTTTTGTAAAGACGTGTTCCGGGTCATGGTAGCGCAGAATCTGGGAATGAAAATCGACACGATGCTCTCAATCTCTGCGAACACTTCGAAAAACAACGTACCATTGTCCGAACGTTATGCTTTGAGACAAAAAATTTGGAAAGATTAATGGATTATACGGTAATCTCGCTTACAAATCCACACACTATTCGTGGTAGACTCACACTAAAAGATGTCGAGCGTTTTCGGAATGGGTCGTTCCACGAATTCTATCGTTTGAAAGCGTTGATAACTTTGAAAGAAGTGAATACATCAGATGTTGAAACAAGGAAGAATGTTCATGAGCAGAACTTCGATGATGAGGTAAAAAATAACAAGCAAATCGTCGTTAATTTACTTCTCCTGTTCAGCAGCCTGATTCTTTTCCTTTTTTTCATGATGCTGGATACTTAATTGTAACGAACAACTTGATATTTCGCACATCATCTGCATCATTAATATTATTGTACAGGCGATGATAAATGTCGAGGAAACAAATCTGGGGCCGATTTTCGAACCTTTGAAACTCAAATGAAATTCAATGAAATTGCCTGATTTGACTAACCTGATCTAGAATTCTTATGTATTTGCGAAATACTGTAGGAAAACGGCATAAAAAAGAATTCAAATTCATTTTCGGCGACCGAAATTTACGGCTTCCAGACA